TCAATTAACAAACGGAGACGTAACAGAAGGGTTAAAGTGAAATAGCTTAGCAATGTGTGGCTATCATCTGGTATTATTAATAAGGATTGAAAAGAAACCTAACAAAACCTTTTATAAATTTACAGTGTCATTACTATAAACGTTTCATTTATTCACACTCATATTTTATGCTTTATAGAGGACGCCAGTCGTTAGAGACGATTTGTTTGGTTCTCGCTTACAAGATCAAGTATCCTAACAACTTTTTTTTACTTCGGGGAAATCATGAATGTGCTAGTATTAACAGGTTAGTTTAGTAATTAGTTAATATAAATATGATATGGTTGTATATTAACATGTGGTATTATTTTTCATGAACTGTTTCTTTTAACTAGTTTCTCAAGACGTATTTTCCCTAATATAAATATTTTTAATTGTGGTTTGTAATAACGTGTTTGGCCGCTATGCTCTGCTCCATTCACTGATGTAAGTTTGAATTCAAAACACAGATGAAAACAAATGGCCTACAGTATTCGTTTGTGTTCATTTGAGAAATAATATGGAATTCGGGAAAAAAATGTCGTTACATGCAGGTAAGTTGTTAATAATTCAAAATGTGCCAGTGTTAGCCAGAAATGAAAACAGCGTTAGTAATAGTATATTTTTGTAAAATTCACACAATTGTTTTTATCGGTTGTACATAGTAAAACTTTTATTTATTTTGTTCACAACGTATAAACCAGGTGAAAGGTTGTGAACAAAATAAACAAAAGTACTCGTATTGTTGAAATAACCTGTAAAATAGTGTTTTAATTTAAAGAGTTGTGTCTGTGCAAGCTAGTGTTCAAACTTCAATTATAAACTTAAAGTCCACGAGAACGACTTAGTTTTATTTACTTCTCTATATAAATCAATTACGTAAATTGTTGGGAGACTAGGATTATAGTCATAGAATGAAATCCCATTAGTATGAAATATATCACTGTATTGATAATTAGATAAGAAATTTATTGCAGTTTAATTATTTGTATTTACTTAATAAATCACCAGGTGTTCTTTTTCTATTTGTATGAAAGCATCTGTCTATTTAAGATTCATCCATTTAAAATATACTAAATGTATAGACTTTCTTTAAAACATCGTAACCTTTTTTCGCTTTTTTAATAAATTTTAGTGACTATTTCGACTTTTTATGTTTATATGTATTTTTATCAAAATTTATATAATCACATTTGGCTGAAGTAAATGTGACAAAAAATCATTTACCCACATTAACTCTATAGGCCTTACCAACTACATTTATGATTTATGTATGACGTTATGATCGACAAAATTATGATTAAGTTCTCAGCACAAGCAGTCTTACCAATGCCATGGAAATAAAAGTATGCGAAACTGAATCAGCCTACACTTATAAGACACAGCACTGCAGTAGATAGTATGTCTAAATGGTGCGCGGACTCCTGTCAGGTGGTTCGTGGAAATTTTTCATAATTACGGAAAGAAAACAGTAGCATAATATATAAGTCCGATTATTGTCAGCCGAGATAAAATGAGAAAAAAATCAGCTCATATGCAAACAAAAACGTCTGAGATTCACTGGTTTAAAATAACAACCCAATCAATAAAGTTGAACTTAAGATGAATTATGATAAAAATGCAATTTAGGATGTCAAAACAGTCAAAAGATTTAAAATTCAAGGTGAATAAAAGTAAGTAAAAAGACTAAATCTGTTACTTCAAGTAATATGCTGTTTACTTGAATCCAGAAGGTTCAGACATTTATCACAACTACTAATTAGAGATGTTACCTAACCCAAGTACAATAACTCAAGTCATTATATGTGAAGTAAGCTCTGTAACCTCTATCTGATTGTATTAAGTTAACGTTTGAAATAACTCACAAGTCATGTCGTAAAAACGTTTGTTCTGTGATTCTCAAAGGTGTTTCTGAAGACAGTTAGTTAGGAATGCTTACGATGTTAATGAGTAAAAGTTTGTATATAATACTAGAAATTATCTTTTTTTTTGTTTAGCAAAATGAAGGGGAGCGAATAGACTTAAGACATCATAATGTTGACACAAGAAATAATAATTATTAAAAATATTAATCATTTTGCATAATGTAATTGAATAGCTAAAAGTAACTGAAACTAAATAACATTATTGCATGATTGTCTGTTCGTTAAAGTTTTTGATTTACTGGACTTTGTCAGATTTCTTGTAACTAAGCATCATGTTCTTTTGACATCTTAAAAAGATGCCCCTCTTATTCCTAGTTTATTGTAATGTGTTTTAACTGTCTGTAATTTGGGTAGTTTTTCTGTTGCTGATATTTGACAAAAAATTACAATGTTTTCGAGCTAATGCCTATATTGCCACAGCTTTTGATATGAGCTGTCATAATACAATTAAAGTCAATATAGGAATTAAGTCTATAAAAATTAAACTTAGGTTATGAAACGTCTAATGCGAATAGGTAGATAAGATAATTATCTCTTTGTATATATATATATAATAGCCAAGTGTCTATCTGTCTGTCACGTTCTATATCTCCTGAACAGTTACTCATAGAGAAAAATTATATATATATATATATATAT